GAGAACCTTCCCTCGGGGGGTAGAATTTGGTGCGCCGGGGAGCCTCCTTAGCACACGCCCTCCGCCGTGGCTTTCCTTGCGATGCCTGAACCTTACCCAAGCCGGTGATTCATTTGTTTTGGAAAAGGACTGGTTTTGGTGGTGGGGAGCCACTCGTGTGCGGTGGGACTTGGCGCGGGTTGACTCTCCTTGCCTTTTCCCTTGGCTGCAGGACCCCCCCTATTTCACGGTGCTACCAGGCTGGGAGTACAGACAGGAGGCAGGGAGGGAGCTGTTGATTCCTTGCGCTGCTGCCGGAGACCCCTTTCCCATCATCGCCTGGAGAAAGGTACCCGGCCTGCCAGACAAATCTGCAGTGCCTTTGGCTTTTGGTGAATATTGCAGACAGAGAAGCCACACTCTGTCCCGGTAAGAACAAACTGCAGGTACAGCTGCTTCGCTTTGGGCTGAGCCACTGCCGTCCTGTCCCGCAGGTGGGTGGGGGAAGCCCGGCTTGTGGCCACCCCGGGGCTTAATTGGCAGCATCTGCAAAGCTGAGCGCTGCCCCTGCCCCGGCCCCCCTCCTCTTCCTCGCCAGCGCTGCCCGCAGGACACCCTCCTCCTTGCCTGCCTGCAAGGTGGGCGCCGGCAGGACGCGGCAGCCCTGGCGCTGCCGGTCCTGCGGGACGGACCTCTAGGGGACGTGCCACCAGAGCGTGTCCGGGGGTCTTCTGGCTGCGTTTTGGCAAGGGGCTGGACCAGTCAGCGGCTGCTTTGCTGCCCCGTGACTTTGAAAACGCTGGGAAGAAGCTGTTTTAATGATGCTGGACTGGACATAATGATTTCAGGATGTCCCTTTCTGTAAGGCAGGGTAGGATCCAGCGTGGTGGCACAGCCTGGGAGAACCAGGGCTTGCCAGTCCTCCTCCAGTCTTCTCTTCCCACCTTCATTGCTGCTGTAGGAAAGCCACCGTGCAGTGGACCTCCTGGGCTCTTTGTTCCCCTGTCAAGATCTTCTCTCCAAGCCTGCCGTCCCCTTCTCAGGGCTCCTGAGGGCGAGCAGGGTCCCTGTGTTGCGCAGTGGGCACTGTCCTTGTGGTGAGAGATGCTGCGTCTCTTTGAGTTCCTTTCACCAGCACAAGGAGGACCATGACTTGCACAGTTTGCAAGTCACCTACCTAAAACCTGTTGGCCGTTAAGTCTTTTTTTCCGTCTTATTCCCCCCTGCATTCTTATTCAGGTTTCTTTTCAACCCCTCTTGTGTCTTCTGGTGGTCCTCCTCATGTCATAACTCTGGGCTTATCCTCCTCGACTCCGGTTAGGGCTGGCTTGGGCTGGGCTGAGTTTCCCAGTGCCAGAAGCAAGCTCCCCTGCTCCCCATCAGCCTGCCAGCACTGAGCAGTCTCTTGAAGGACTTCTGAAGACTTGGGCTTGGCACTGGTAGCCGTACGTGCTCGTCCGCTCCCCTGCTCATCCTGCATGGCATCGAACCGTGGGTCCTGGCGTTGATCGCCAGAGACCCCTGCGTGAAGAACAGCTGAGGAGGACTCAGGACAACGTGGGATTTGCACAGCTCTGGCTGATGGGCGTAGACATGAGTTGTTACAAGATCCATCTTTCC